CAGCCACCTGGTGGGCTGACTCTTGTGGACTCAGTACCGGGCAGGCAGTCATAATGTAATGGCTGATCAGTGCATATCCACTGCAACTCACATTGTTGTGTGTAGTGTGGCCAACTTTAATTTATCTGCCTTAGGTTGTTTTCAGCCAGGTTTGGAAACTGTGCTGGCTTATTTGATGTATAATCAGATAATCACCTTTATTTGGCCAAGTATGTTACACACACAAGGAATTTGTTTCTGGTACAGAACCGAGGCAGCCGTATATTCTTTATAATGAATGAATGTTTGAAATTTCAAGTAAACTATATATAATTTTGTTGGAATTCAGGAAGCTTTGAGCTGAGGACTGAGCCCAAACTGCTCCACTTTCAGATGTGAAGCAGAAAAATGCTGAAAAGTTACATTTTTAAATATGTACATATCAGAAAAGGCATTTTCTTATCAGAATCTGGATAAAAGAAAATTAAAGATACGAACATATGTTAATCTCAGACTGTCAATCCTTTGTGCTGTATGCGCGTGTTACAAACATGCTGGGAGTTCAAGAGTGTGATCAGGCCTGGTGAAAGGTCCACATGCAGAGGTGGATAATGGATTAGTTAAAATCACTGTTGCTCGGCGCGGGTGTTTCCTGTGAGGAAAACCAGACCAAGCTTATCTCCTGTCCTCCATCCTCTGGCCACCCAGGGACTACTTAAAGTTAAAACATCAAAGCCTGATGTGTACACATCTTCAGAAAGGATTTTCTGAGAGGAAAATGGATGTAGCATCATGAGTCCCTCAAAACAGAAACAGAACAAATGAGTGACATGTAGATCTGTTACTGGAGTTTCCCCCCTTCCCAGTACATTGCAACTCAGCTCTCAGGACAAATTCCTAAAAAACACACACACACACACACACACACACACACACAGGCTTCAATGCCTTTTTGTTTGCAATACTTCACTGGTTGAGTGTCTTCTTTTCATTTAGAATTTATGTGATGTCTCTATTTCCAGTAAAGCCACGTGCCTTCTCACAACAAACTGTCTGTGACTTGGTGAGGAAACAATTAGAATTCACGTAGGTCCATGTATGTGTCCTCTGCACACATCGACACTGATTAGCTAGTGGCTCAGAGCCCCAACACACACACACACACACACCCTTCCTCTCCATAACAAACAGGTGGTGTGTCTGTAACAAGTGAACAGGTGTCACTCTGTGGCTCCGCCAAGAGATGACAAGCTGAAAACAAACAAACAACAACAACAAGCAGCAGTGTCCCTGTCCTGCTAATTACTGTGAGAGCACTTTGTTGATCATCTCAGTCTGAAGTTTAGCTTAAACGCCCGGCGTCTCCATCTCCCCCTGTGACTGTACTTCCTCCCAAACTTTGTCCTCTCATTTCTCAGAGCTGTCTTTTTGAGCAGGTCCTGAATGTTGAAAGGAGAAAGGTTCAGGGAAATGGGGATCTGTTGTAACTCAAAGAGTCACTGAGTGGAGTGGGAACAATGCAGCCGGCAGATGCTGCGGCCCACATGGTGGCGAGGCTCCACAGGGGCCACTGATGGTGGGAAATGTCGATGAGGGTGACCCACAGTGCATTTGTGGATTCAGCGACACATCTGATGCAACGCGCCTTAAAGTCAATACAATCAGCTGGCATCGTTTGTTTGTGTGTGTACGTGAAACTCTCTTCACTGCAGGGCACATCTTTCTACAAAGCACTAGTATAAGCGCTGTAAGCCATACACAAACGGGGTTGATAAGGATGAAGGGAACTTGGCCGACTTCTGGCCAAGCCATCACACAAAGGCTATACAAACCATCTGAAAATATTCAGTGGCCAAACACTGAGCATGTTTGAGCAATTTGACTCTCACCAAAGGGCTCGAAGAACAAAATCATATTCAACAACCTGAGGCACAGCTCATTAATTCTGACCTATGAATTCAGGATAAGCAAATGATGAAACATTTGTTCCCATCAGTGCAGGTATGAGACCTACACGCTGTCAAAGAAGAGCTCAGAGGCTGCAGTGAGAAGGAACCATGTTCTGCTATTTGAAGATTGCAGACTGTGTATTTGCAGTAAATCTACTGCCTTTCAATATTTTGTTCTGGTTTATATTATATACAACTTTTAAGTCAACTCAGTTCTTTCCACCAGAATGTTGCAGTTGTTGTTAGAGACAAAGACCATGTCCTTGGAAACCAGACAAAATGTAAATTGTCATGTGGGCCAGCAGATCCTAAATCCACCACACACCTGGGATTTGAGCATCGCCTACCAGCCGAGCATTCCAGGAATTCACTCTGGACATGATTCACAGTGCATCCACTCAAGCTTCCCGTGGCAGATTAGAGCTCATGTCTGGGCACAGACCGATCTTTCCTTTCACTCTTTTCTTACAGCAATCTTTCACTTTTTCACAACTGCAGAAGTCCTGAGAAGTCATGCTAAGTTTATACTACAAATGACATTTAACTGCAGTGGTTTTACTCTTTGTCATTCAAGAAATGTGGCGATAAGCCTTTTTCTACGATGCTGCCTATGAAGCAGCGCTGGACGCCCGGGGGCATGTGTTGGATTGATCACTGTCTCTGGGCTCAGACGGTCCAGGGCCGCAGCAGAACCTGCTGTCTGCTGTTTGCTTAGACTAAAACGCTGCTAAAAGCTGGGATCAATCGGGCGGGAGAATCAATCAGGATCATCCGTGTTTATACAACTTGGGGATTACCTCACTGTTACAGGAATGGCCTCACAGGAATGACTGGCCATTAAAACAGTGGGACTAAACACTGCCCTGCTGTTTACATAAAAGGTAATGTGGGCCTGACCATGGCTCTGTGTGCCAGAGACAATTAGGCCCCTGCACAGGCCTTAATCCACTGTCCCGTGCAGGGTAATCAAATTCACAGCTGGGCCCCGAAAACAATGAGGGTCAGGATTACAATGAATGCTTGTGAAGATAGAAGATTAATAAGCTTAACACTGGACATGTGCTAGTTACCAAAATTCAAAGTATAAAGCATTAGGTGTTTTCT